TTAAACTATTTATAGGCAGAGGTGTTTTACAGGAATATCCAATGGTGAACCGTTATATGGAATCTTTAATTTTTGGCAGGTGGCAGCTCTTTGTCTCCTCAAGTTACAAGGTAGTGGGTTAGGTTTTTCTACCTGTTACGTGTGTGCTACGTGTGAGGAGCTTACGCTTATTTTTGGACCAATTATATATAGTTTCCCCTAGCATTTTATTTCAGCTGTCCAATTATCTGTAGTACACCACCAGCGTTTTGTTTCAAGGAATTTCTTGGCAGGGAAGTCTTTTAACCCTTAATATTCAAATGAAGATGATTTGAATGGTATCTCTTGCTCAGTGGCATGGGCACAAGTTAATTGGGTTGTGACACACATAAGCTTCACCCTGTGGTTCTTTCTTGAATGTCAGATGTCAGCAACCTGGAGGTCGAGGACCGAGGCCTCTTCCCTCTGCCCCCCCCCCCTCCATTGGGGTGGGTGAGACGGGTTGGTGGCTGTCTGTCCATGGTGGCCTTGAGTTCTCCTCCTCAGGGGCACTTTACTGTTCTGAAATCCCTCCTTTGTATTCTTTTTCTCTTCTGGTGACTCTTCATTTCTGGGTACCATTGATTGGTCTCACTGTGGTCATCATACTGTCCACATTCTGTTCTGTTGGCATATTCCTTTGTTTCCCAAACCCATCACATGCACACATCTTAATTTGGTCACTTATTGGTGTCTTAATTTGGTCTCTCCACCAAAATCGGAAATCTCCAAAGCTCTGCAGCTGGTCACTGTGATCTGGCCACCACAGCAAATTCCCTTATCTCTGTTTGGGATTTTTAGGGAACACTTGTGGTACATATCTTCAGTTTCCCAGCTTGCATATACCTGCTTGTCTGTTGGCCTTACACAGGGTGTCTGCTGGTTCCAGACACAGTGGGCCTTGAATGAAATTTTGTCACAAACAGGCTTTTAGAAATCAGTTAACCCTTGCCATTCCTGTGGACCATTGCTCTAATGCAATATCTACTTTACCTACAAGTCAGTTCCCGAAAGCAAACCTCTAAATATCATTTTCTAGCCATCAATGTATCCACTTGACAGTACTTTCATCTAGACCAGTGGTTCCCAACCTTTTTGGAGGAGGGATCCCCTGCGTGCCCATGCTGCACTCAGCAGTGAACCCAGAAGCGCTGGCGGTGAACCTGGAAGTGTTCTTCTTGAACACTTTGTGGCCCTCCTGAGAGCCTCCCATGACCCTGATTTGGGTTGTGACCCTAGGTTGGGAGCTGGTGATCTAGACAGTAGCTTGCTAATATGAAAGCATATTACAGAGGTTCTCAACCAGAGTGCCATGGCACTTTGAGGTGCCTTGAGATCCTTTTAAGTGTGCCACCAAATAGTAGTATTGTTAGGTGTGCATACGTGATTCACAAGATAAACCCAGAGATTTCAAATAGGAATCCATAGTGTCATGGAGTTCTTTACAGTGTGTGTGTCCAGGGTCTGGAACAAACTCCCCCAGAGGTGGTGCAAGCACCTACTCTGGATTCCTTCAAAAAACAGCTGGATTTATTTCTTGCTGGGGTCACTTGTTCCTAGCTGACTTCCCGCCTATGGTGACGGGCTGGACTCGATGATCTTATGAGGTCCCTTCCAGCCCTTAATGTCTATGAAATCCACAGAGCCCATCCACCAATTATAGAAGGAAATCAAGTTGATCAGGCATGACTTGCTCTTGATGAATCCTTGTTCACTCTTCCTGATCACCAGGGATCCAGGTTTTCTGTTTCCCATTGAAGAATGGAGAAAACCATGTTTTTTCTGGTTTTATCAGAGAGAACGCGGATTTCTCCCTTTTGCAAAGAGCTCTGCAGGCTGGCTGAGTACCAGCCTGCAAGAGCTCTTTGCAAAAAGGGCGGGAAAGCCCCAACCCCACCCGGAGGGGTGGGGGAAGGGTGGAGCCTGCAGCTTTCAGTTAGTTGCAAGGCCTAGGTCAGGCTCACTTTCCTCCTGGAGCCTGAGAACTGGTAGGTGGGGCTTTCAGGGGGCTGAGGGGTTGCAGGGCAGGGCTGGGATGGAAGCTGACTGGGGGCTGAGGGAGCGGGGAGGTGTTGGGGAAATACATGCAATGCCTGGCCAGCGCCTCTGTGAGTGGCTTCCGTTAAGGACTGCTAGAGCCACTTAGGTTTCACATGCCCTGAGCCGGGCACTCCAGCCGTGAGTGGGGAGATGTGGAGCTGGCCGGGCACTCCAGCCGCGAGCAGGGAGGTGTTGGGGAAATACATGGAGTGCCAGGCTGGCTC